CGTTTTCTGAAAACAGGCATAGTGGTGAGTGGGATTCTATCGGTTTGAGGCGACTGATGCGAATCCTGAATTTTTTAGATAGAACCGGGTCTGCTCGAGCCGCTTTCATGGTATCGTGCCGCTAGCAACTCCCTGCCTGATTTTAGTCTTGATCTCATTTGCAAGATGTATCCGATAGATACGAACTAGTGAGGAAGCATCAAACACGCGGGAGGCGACATTGTAATAGAGCGACTGCATGCCCCGCCTACTCCTCGTGTCAGGACGCGTAGTGACCAATCACAGCGCGCCACTCATGTTGGCGCGAAATTTGCATGTCGCCTTCCGCGCCTCAAAACCGCTGTCCATACTAATCTAAATACATTTCAGCTCCCCTGTCATGACAATGGACGCCATTCAAAAGCTTTTCGAAAGAGAATCTGAGCAAGAAGGATTAGCTCGCATCGATTTTGTGCTGCGCAGCCTATCTGGTGAACAGCGGAAGCAACCACTGCTTGTGGTTGGACATGCTATCACATTGGCTGTTGCGCTTACGATAGGTATACGGTATCTACTGTGTTTGATCGTGATTGGCTGAAATCTTGTAATTTCAGCCAGTTCCCAGGGAGAAAGAGGAAGATCGTCGACAAGCGATTCGCGCGATTCGGGCACTCCCATCACCTCGTTTGAGTACCAAATGAGTATCGATACCTTGGGTAATGAAGTCATTGATCAAACGACTTTGGGTGTTAGGTAAGGAACCAAATGGGTGAAACCTCCTAACCAGCACGTCTTTCAGATTCCCACCAGGAAGTGTTGTCACACTAATTCAGAAGAATAAAGGACCACCATTTCTGTATCAGCTAGCCCCTAACATCGTCCCACCACTATCCTATGGAGAACTCTTCACCAACAAAGCTGTTGTGGCAACATAAACCACTGATTTGCGAACATTCGTTCATAGACTAATTGTCGATGTTCACGGTGATAAATGTTCGTGGCCGTTCGTTTGATTTGAACTGACCTACTAGTTTCGTATAAATCGTGGTGATGTGATTTTTGTTGACTGGACATCTGGAACAAGCGCGTCATAGTACATCGCTCTGTAATGAACGTAGTTCTCAGGTTCATACTAAAATTCAGACAAGTCACCGAAACTTCCACAGGACAAGCAAAATTTACAGCTTTTCGCAGAATTTTGTTTACCACTGCAAGAGTAAAAACGTTGAAAATGGGAGCTGCCACAGGATTCTCACGTTGGACAGATTGACGAGAAGTCGCAGGACTTTTCACAAAACGCTGCGGAAAATCCTATGCCAGTGATCCCGCAGCACTTTGGCCTGCCAGTACTTGCGCAGGTTTTTG